TAATACTACATAATAAAATACTACTTCAAAGTACTTTAAACCAAAACATAGCTACCTTTTAACCCAGCATTCATCCTTTTATCCCTTTGAGAATCTTCTAAACGTGTTTACAAAACACAAAGACATATTTCTATCTACTAACCTAGAGATACTATTTTTTTAAAAAAAGGAATTTGCAGAGAAATATGCACATTAATGTTCTTTTATTATCAAAAAGGAAAGACATTGAAGGACCAAAAATTAAAATTAATAAAAGCTTAAAAACTTGGGCCCTGAAAAAGGAACTTCTAATGACTGGGAATGCAGTGGCTGGCACCTGAGCCCCAGCCCTGCTCTCAGAGATGAGGAGGTGACTGTCCACCACTTGTGTCAACATTCCTATATCTTCTAATTGCTAGTCTTAAGGTTGTAAAGATCCCTGGGTCCAGGGAATAACTGACAGACCCTGCAACCCCATGCCCTGTCTTACCTTACTCAAATGTATCTTGCTTAAAATATATAGTTACTACTTTACTCTCTACTTTGTATGACATTAAGTAACCATGGAAACTCTGAAAGTTGTGGCCCTCAACCTTATGGTCTCCCCTTTAAAAGCTTCTCTTTATGGCTGGTTGGGATCTCATTTCCCTGCCATGGAGTGAGGTCCAATTTGGCCAGCTTGAACAATAATAAGAAACCTTTGCTTTTGCATTGGAGGTGCCAGCTCCTTGGGTTGTTCTGGGGCTCTTCAAGAAATGCAGTTGAGTTATATAAATATAAGCAAGGGAGTAGAAGGTGCTATGGTCTGAATGCTGCATCTAACCTAAAGTTCACATTAAAGTCCTCATCCCCAGGATCATGGGAGTAAGGCCTACGGCCTTTGGGAAGCAATCAGGTTATGAAAACAGAGCCACTATGAATGGGATAAGTGTCCCATAAAAAGAGACCCAAGAAAGAGCTCTCATCATCCAGTTATATGAGGACACCATAAGAAGGCACCATCTAATCAGAGATTGAAAAAGCAAGTACTACTCTTCCAGAGGACCAAGTTTGACTGCCAGCACCCCACATCAGGTAGCTCACAACCGCCTGTCAGTCTGTCTCTAGGTCTGATTCTACTGCACCTGAAATTGCATACACACACAGAGAGAATTAAAAATTAAATAAATAATGCTCAAAAAAAAGAAAAAAAAAAAGCACCATCTATACAGAAGCAAGTTGGCCCTCACCGAAGCATCTTGACCCTGGACCTCAGAAGCATGAACAGTAAATCTCTGCTGCTTGCAAGTTGCCCATTTATGCATCTATGTTCAGGAGAGGTATCACTTTTGATATTAAAAAGTTGATCAAATTTCTGAGGTGGGGGTGGGGAACCAGAGAACTCAGTCCTCCATTATTGCTGCCATCATGGCCTCCAGGCACTGGCCTCAGGGATGTGTGCATCCAGGCTAAGGGACCAGAGCTCCAGGGCCATTGGTCCTTTCCAGTGCCTAGTGCAGAGGGACAAGGCAGCATATACAGTCTGAAGCCCTAGGTCAGACAGGCCACTATCAACCACAGCTGTATCATCTGTGGGGTAGCCATGGCACAGCAGGAACAGGCACTGGGAGAGAGGCAGTGTGGTACAGGGCTCTTGGTCAGATTAATGCATGTGTAATGGTTAGCCTTAGTTGTCAACTTGACTACATTTGAAAGTAATCAAAACCCAAGCCGTTGGATGCATTCTTTGTGAGGAATTTTTCTTGGTTGGATTATTTAAGGTAGGAGACCCATCCTAAATCCAGACATTTGAAGTCAGAAGATCCTCCCTAAATCAGGCCACACCTTCTGGTGGCAGGCCACATGAAAGCATGGAAGGGAGCTGTGTTTTCTGTCTGCTTGCTCTCATTCTCAATGGCAAGGTCATCTTCCCCAAACCATTCCTTCAATGGTGGTGGAACCTATTTCTTCAGTATTCCAACACAGACTGAAAACTGGCAGTCTTAGGACCTTCCTGTATTCCAGTACCAGACAGAGAATGCTGAGACAGCCAGGCTTGTGGACTAAACAATTAATGGATTCTTGCCCTTCCCATCAGGAGATGGCCATTGTTAAACTTCTAGAATCAGATCCTGTAAGCCATTCTAAGAAATTCTCTCTCTCTCCCTCCCTGTCTCTCCCTCTCTCTCTTCTTCTCTCTCTCTCTCTCTCTCTCTCTCTCTCTCTCTCTCTCTCTCTCTCTGTGTGTGTGTGTGTGTGTGTGTGTGTGTGTGTGTGTGTGTGTGTGTATACATTCACTCTGCCAGTTCTGTTCCTTACAGAATCCTGACTAACATATCATGCAAGACTCCTCTGCCAAACTGAGATGTTCTTAAGCCAGAGTGGGAGGCTACACAGAAGAGAGAGAGAGAGAGAGAGAGAGAGAGAGAGAGAGAGAGAGAGAGAGAGAGAGAGAGAGAGAGAGAGATATCCCAGCAGGAACTGAAGAGACAAAAACTTATGGCACAGGAATAAATTCAGTATAAACTAAATGCAAGTAAAAGGTTGCTTTTTTTTTTTTTTTTTTTTTTTTTTTAAGTGAAAGGGTCTACTCCATTAAGTTCACTGTCTTTTTCCTAGGTTTTAGTTCTAAATATTGGCATTCCACACATTGTGAAAACATAATACACAATCATCCCATAACTAAAAGCCACTGGGTTAAGTCAAATAATTTGAAGAGCAAAACTGAGAAGGGTAGGGCTTGCCCGTGGGTCACTTCTTAGGAAGTGGCTTTTCATGGTGAGGGGTGAAAAGTAGGAAAGTATAGAAAAGAAGAGTATTTAACCCAATGAAAAAAGGAATTGCACCAGGGAAGGATGGAGAGTGTGAAAACAGAAATGACTGGCAGGTCCCCAAGCTTGTTCAAAACGAGCAACAAAGGCCACTGAACCCATAATGCAACACAGCAGCATTGCAGGCAAATTCCACAAACCAAACCTCAGGCAGGGGCTACATTTTAACACACCAGTCAACACTCTAAAAACCCTGCCTTACATCTGATACAGCCAGGAAATGGAACAGCTCTGAGATCCACTGCAGACTCCCAGCGTCCTGTGAGAGCTACACGGCCTTCTTCAGCTACAGTTCATAAAGTTATTTGATACACATCAGTCAAACACATTAATTGCTAAGAGAAAACAAGATACTTTTGTTATAAAACCCTACAAGAATTTAATCTTTGCTGATTAAAAAGGGGACAGAGCATGAACTTGGAATGTATGTGGTGAGGAGGCAGATTAAAGGTGGGGGAATGGATGGAAAAGGGCAAGGGGAAGGGAGGAAAGGAGAGGGAGATACATGAGCAAGACGGTGACATACATGCACATGGACGTGACCTAATGGAATCCATTATTCTGTACACTAAGCAAAACAACTTCCAATTAGGTATGTGCAATGAGCCACTTTGTACATCCAAATTATGTGTTACTGGCATATTTTCCTAAACTGGAAACTGCCAGAAATTTACAAATGACCAACTGTTTAGCTTTATAAGTAAAGGGTCAGTTTCTTGGAAAAGTCTATTCCATTGGGCTATTGCTGATAAGCAGGAACCTGCTCGTGAGTATTTTTGTACACTATTTTACACAAGTGGGGAATTGGAGCTGTCATCCTTGATAGATTCCTTACACCTCTCTTCCCAAGGACTAGAAATCTTGGTAAGTGGTCTCACATCACATAGTATCAATATTTTGTAAAAGACTAATGACGTATACATAAGACTTTTTTTAAGTTTAAAAACCTAGCTAGGCATTCAACCTTACATAGAAACCACTATGCCAAACACTAAAAATATGCATAGCCATCAGTTCCCTGATAAACCATAGATATACTTTCTAGTGCATTCCATCTATTTCAGATATTTTTACAGACTACTTTGTCCAGAAACACTTGCCACACACACAAAACTAGTATGGCACACTTTCCAGATACTCGGGGAAAATTCAATACACAGAAAAGGTTCAATTACAAAGAAACAGCAGGCCCACCCAAGTCACAAATTCAAGCAAAAGTTTCAAATCAAGCAAAATGATGACCATAAAAGGCCAAATAAAGTAGATTCATTTAAAATGGGGACCATATTTAGAATGAGCAGTGAGAATAAAACTCTGGTTAGAACATTCTCTCCCCAAATTTAAATACGTTTCTTTATCTTACATATAATAGGTTACAACAAAGACTTTGTGCTTTCTCTTGGAACATAAAAAGTGAATGTTGCTGTGGCAGCAAAAATTTTCCACCAAATTGTATAATATCCCAATGTAAGATCACTCTGGTTTCCACAAGGCAATCATAAAGGTTTTGTTTGGTCAACACACAAAGGCTTCGTTAGACTCCCCAAATATATATGGAAACTTTAATCTTCAGATCATTCTCTTTTTAATTCCAAAAATCAGAGTTGGGCTCATTGGCCTTCTCTTTTTATTCAGGCTGCTTTAACACACAGCAGAAGCACAGGCCATGCGAGACCTGCTTGCTGACCACAGTAAGACTATCTTTCTCAGGGGCCTATCACAGGGTATTTCACTTGCCTGCATACCCCTGTTGGGAAATTTAAGTACTTGTCCCTTACAGCTCTCTTCTCCCACCCAGCTGTAGAACTTCCGTGCAAACAAGGTTGTTTTCAGAACTTTCCGGTGTGCAGTGCAGGTGCCTTGACCCCAGGTGTGGGTGGTGCACGACTTCCTCCTATACTTAGCCCACCCCTGGCTTGGGTATATAAGCCCATTACTCTCTGTAATAAACAGTGGCAGTGGCAGCAGGTTCTTAACTTCTCATGGTGGTCTGTTAAGTGTTTCAACCCCGACACCCTCAGCCATGCAGGCGCGGCATATCCCTTCTGTATCCTCACTGCAGGAACTTAGGTACAGAGTGCACAACTACTGACAGCCCACATGTATCTCCATCCCTGCGCACTAACACCCAGTCGAATAGCATGGGAAACTACAACACATCTTGGTCAGAACCACATTTATAACTGGTATTGATGTAATATGATACTATACCAAGGTTGTAAGCGAGTTCCTTTTCATATACAGCCTCTCCAGATGTTGCAGCCCTTCATCTTTCAGTAACTCCAATGGGAAATGGTGCAGATTTCTATAATTTAAGAACAAATTCTTGTGCTTTTCAAGCCTGGCCACAGAGATCGTCTTACAAAGTTCGGATGCCATGACTGAACATGTCTGATCAGGCACGCTATAGCACTACATCTTGTCAAAATTGGTCCATTTCTATAAAAAAGACAAAAAAAAAAAAAAAATTAGCCATTGTAAGATTTCTTACAATCACTGCAGATAAACCTGTTAGCTTATACAGTTAAAACATACCAACACTAAAGTTAATTATACTCTCTACCTTCTATTATGACAACTAAAATTTCTGAACATATTTGGGCCATTACATAATAGAGTACTCTGATAAAGCAATATTTACTACTTACAAAAAAAAAAAAAAAAAAAAAAAAAGGACAACTGGCTGGGCAGTGGAGGCTTACACCTCTAATCCCAGCACTCAGGAGGCAGAAGCAGGCAGATCTCTGAGTTCGAAGCCAGTCTGGTCTACAAGGTGAGTTCCAGTACAGCCAGAGCTGTTACACAGAGAAACTCTGCCCTGGAAAATCAAAAGGAGGAGAGGGAAAAGGAGGAACCTAATTGAAAAAAAAAACAATTTCTTTTGGACTTGAGGTAGGAATCTTTATCTATAAGAATAGAAAAGTTTCTGGTTTAATTTTGTAAGACAAGGTCTCTCATATCTTAGGCTGGCCTAGAACTTGCTATACAGCCAAAGAAGATCCTAAAATTCTGGTTTTCCTGTCTCTGTCTTTGGTTGTATGACACAGCTCTTTGTGTCTGTAACAGTGATATCACACCCAGGACTCTATGCAAGCTGGAAAAGCACTCTATACCAAGTGCTCTGCATCCACAGACCTCAGAGGCAAGTTGCGCATCGTGTAATCACAGAAAAAGCTTAAAAAAAAAAAAACTCAAATGCAGCAGGTCAGGCCCCATTTTCATTTTGAGTTGTCTCATTTTGTATTTTACTTATCTCAAACATTAAATATTATCTCCACTTAGGTCACTAACAGCTTAATTCCTTTACTTCCTACTATATAAATATTGTCAAATGTTTCACGTTTTCAGTTCTTTTATCTTTTTACCCTTCTCTTTGCAGTTTTGCAGGTTATTGGAAATAGCAAAGAAAGTGGTCCAAAGTCACTAGTCAAAAACACTGCCCTAGGAGCACGAACCCTGTGTTACCCAATTATCAATCTCTCAGGGCCTCAGAGGACTCATGTAGATGTAGCAGTTAGTATGTTGGTTGAAAAATTATTGGAAAGTCTCTCCCAGCCCCAAAACTGACAAGAAAAGGAAGCTACATTTGCCACCGGCCCCCTTGTTTTTTTTCAAGACCGGGGGGTCTCTCTGTGTAGCTCTGGCTGTCCCAGAACTCACTCCGTAGAGTAAGCTGGCCTTGAACTCACAGAGATACGCCTGCCTCTGCCTCCTGAGTGCCAGGATTAAAGGAGTGTGCCAACATCGCCTGACTACTGTCTTACTAGGAACAAAGTTTAACAAGATTCCATATTAACACAGGAGGAAACAAAACTCAGGGCTTCCTGAACTTATCAAAGGTGGAAGGGCTCATAAGGAATTAAAAGCAAGAATCTGACACCAGGTCCAGAGGATTTCAAAGTGTGGGTTCTTTGCAATGAATCATGGGGTTCCAGAAGACATTAAGGAAATGAAAGTACAGGGCAAGTGTCTTAAATTTTGGTTAAGTTTTGCTTCTAGTTCTCTACTGAAACAGTTTCAACTGTTTTATTCATTTTAAGAAAATAAATCTCATGAAGCATTTGTATGACTTAAAATTTTGGTTAAGTTTTGCTTCTAGTTCTCTACTGAAACAGTTTCAACTGTTTTATTCCAAGCATTTGTATGAAGGCTTTCAATAAGTAGAGTTTTGAAACTTTGGGGTTACTTTCTATCATTTTCAAACTCTTCTTAGGTCAGAAGACAATAGCTGCCATTTAACTTAAAAGAGTTCTTCTACGAGTGTTCAGTAACAGTTCCAGGTCAATCTATGAACCTAATACATTCCCGCATTTCTTCCATCTACTTTCATTCTCACTTTATTGCAGGGCACCTGATCTTCCAGCATCTCGTGTCTTTATATAAAGTGAAGGGGACTACAGGACTGACAGCATCAATGCTTGTAGAAAACCAAGCTGCCTGAGCAATTATCCACTGAGTAAGCTGGGCACAGTTCAGTGGTCTCAGAGCATCTCCAATGCCACACTTTCCCAGACAGCTATCAGTGCTCATCACCTGTCACCTCTCCAGGTTTTCCCGTCTCAGCAAATGTAGGAAGATAACCTTCTCTGCACACAGCAGCTCAAATGGAAGTCATAAAGGATCCCATCCTCTCAGTCACAGCTTCTTCAATCCATCACAAGGCTAGTGTTTCTCTTTCCAAAACACATCTCAGTTCCAGCCACATCTCTCCATCTGCCAAAGCCATGAGCCACTACCATCTCCTGTCTTGGCCAGCTGCATTCCTGGTCTCCATGTGTCCACTCTAATCACTTCCAATATATCAACACAGCAATGTGATGGGGATGTCCATATATACGTTTCTCTTATTGATGAATAAAACACTGATTGACCAGTAGCCAGACAGGAAGTATAGGCGGGGCATCAGATGAGGAGGAGAATTCTGGGAAGAAGAGGCAGAGAGAGGCTGCCAGAGAGACACCATGTAGCTGCTGAGGAAGCAAGAGGTCTGGGCATCATCGAGTAAGCTGAGAGCTCATGGAGATACACAGATTAATAGAACTGGGTTAATAATTATGAAAGAACTAGGTAGTAAGAAGCCTGAGCCAGCGGCCAAACAGTTTATAATTAATGTAAGCCTCGATGTGTTTATTTAGGGCTGAAGGGCAGCAATCCTTGTTGAACAGAAACTCCATCTACAGCCTCATAAAATGTACATATAACTGCATCTCTCCATCCTGGCATGTCTTACTAAATAAACCCTTTAGCAATTCCTTATTGAGAAAAACAAAGTCTTACAAAGCTTTCAGAGCTCTTGGCCATCGGGCCCAACCTGCCTGTCCAGCCTCCTCTGCCACATTCACCAAGTTTCTGGGCTCTCTTAATGCTGGGAGCTACCAACCTCCTCCAAGCACTTGTTGCTCTTCTTGTAGTCTGGAAATCGCCTCTTTCCCCTCACAGATTTCAACATAAAACTCACTTCCCTGACCCAAACTAAGTATTTCCTTCTTGGTTTTCTTTCAGAGAAAGCCAGTTGTTCAGTTTTCACAATTTAAAGTATATATATATATATATAGATAGATAGATAGATAGATAGATAGATAGATAGATGTAGATGTAGATATAGATAGATAGATAGAGAGTGTTAGGGAGAGACATACATAGATGGATACTTTGAACAAGTCTGTAAATCCCAAGGGTAGAGAGATATTGCTGTTTCTTCATATTTGCATGACTGCTAAATACTTTTAGCTTTCAAACAGCTAATAACTGTATGAAATCAGAAGAGCCGTTCCAAGCTTGACTTTTCATCTATTCATTAAGAGCATTCATAGACTCTTTAAACTTGCTATCTGCCCTAAGGATTTTATCCTCACAAGGAAGCAATACAGCAGACATTGATTAATCCACTTCACAGATAAGTACAGTGTCACACACACAATGGAGGAGGGGGTTCTAACCTTACCTTACCTATATATAACACTGCCTTTTACAAATGTAAAATGTGGCCACTGTGTCATCATGATGAGATACACAAGATTACATATATGGAGGGCTTTCCATTTGCAAAGTAAAACTACATCCAAAATCTCCATTTACTGTAGCCGAATGGCTTTCTGAAGGCTCCATCTGGAACAGGCTGCCTCAGAGGCTTCATTAGGTTCTGCTTAAATGCATCTTGCTACAAAGACAGACTGGGAAATAAGGTGCATACAAATGAAATTTAAAAAGCTTTCAAAAGCAATAATACCCCTGTTTTTCCAATATGCACTCATTAGTAATGCATCCTTTCAAAGGTTAGCTTCCCGCCCCTTTCCTCCTTCATCACCTCCTGCCCACAGTTAATGGTAAACTCTGTAGTTAGTATTAAGTCTGCACAGCAGCATCTTCAGTTTTCTGAAAGCCAAACACCAGTCTTTTAGCGGAAACAATTCCTAACTTCAGAAAATTCCCCATTTTTAAGCATAAGTATTTTAAAGAATAGTCCTTGACTCCGCAGTTCTTGATTTGGTAGAATACACAATCTGACTTCGTAACGCTGGAGATGAGGGTCTTACAACCCAACCCGTACATTATAAGCATTTACAAAACGCTTTTTTCTCCCTGAGAAAAGCTACCACAGATCTTGGTTTTGCCCGAGTTAGCTCGATTAGAATTAATCCTAAGAATCCGGCAGCAGGGAGCCCAGGGGCAGGGATTCAGAGACTTGATGATACCGGGATACTCGGGTACCAGGGGCCGCGGAGGACACAGCAGCCGTGGGGACCCAAGGCCGGACAGCCCGCGCTCCTTCTGGCAGAGGCCCGGGCGCTTCTGGGGCGACGGGAATGAAGCGTGCCCGCCAGGAGCCGAGCCAGTGCCCACGACCTGCGAGCTTGGAGATGGGACACTCACCTCGGCGCCCGCTGGCCAGCGCTTGGTGGCCCAGGCTGCGCTGGAAGGCAGTCCTGGGATAGAGGGAGGGCGGGGCAGAGAGGGCGGGGCCTGCGGAGGGGCGGGGCTCACTAACGGGAGTAGGGGTCGGAGGGGGGGAGAAGTGGCCGGGAGACCTAAGCATCGCGAGAGTTCGCCTCAGCTCTCGCTGCCTCATGATAGGTGGAATGGGAGGCTTATTTTTCAGAGCCAGGCGTGTATTGGCTGAGAGCGCGACTTCCTCCGGGTCCGGGCCATGGCGCTACGCTGGCTTCCGGCTCCGGCTTAGGGCTGGCTGTCAATAAAGCGTTTTGGTGGAGCCGCCGGTAACTGACCTGTGTTTTCGTTCACGCATTCATTCTGCTCTCAGCCCCTCATTGACGGATGCTAACAGTAGCCGAGCGATGATGTGCCAGGCATCATCCTAAATGCTGTAACGGCAATCCCGGCTACTGATAACTCCGGCTTACATAACACCAGTCAACAAGAACTTAAGCACTGGATGAAAGGCCTCAGAACGTTCCCTGAAAGGTGCCAAGTACAATCTCTACCCATCAGACCCGCGGGCCTAGGCGTGGTGGTGTGTGCTGGCACCCAATGCTCTGGCGGTGGAGACAGATCAGGAGTTAGAGACCAACCTCAGCCACGTGAGACACTGGTAAATAGAAATGAAACACACACACACACACACAGGCTGTAGTGTGAGAAAAACTAAGGACAACCACAGCCTAGTGAAGGTAGCTCAGCAGAGGCACTAAACTCAGTCCCCAATATCAGAGGAGAAAATAAAAACTTTTGTTGTTGTTTTGTCTGTGTTTTGTTTTAAGACAGGGTTTCTCTGTATAACTGTCCTGGAACTCTATAGATCAGGCTGGCCTTGAACTCAGAGATAAACCTACCTGCCTCATGAGTGCTGGGATTACAGGTGTGCACCTCTGCCTGACAAGTAAAAACATTTTTGAAAATGTGCACATTGATGCAAGAACTTTCTTCCTGTCCTTTCCTTCCTCCCTCCCTTCCTTCCTTCTTTTCTTTCTTTCTTTAGTTTCATTGGTGGCCTTGGTGTCCTGGAACTCACTCTGTAGACCAGGGTGGCCTCAAACTCAGAGATATGCCTGCATTTGCCTCACAAATTCCGGGATTAAAGGCCTGCACCACCAAAGCCTGGTAATAACTTTCTATCTTTAAAAATTCCTCTGAGACATGGTGAACCTCATTCATGTATGTGATGTGTTTTGATGAACTCCATACCCCCATTAAGACTTATTTTTTATCCTTTAAAAAAAGGCTGTATATTAATTTGCGTAGGGGCTTCTTGTTAAGCATTCTCATTTTGTTTGTTTGTTTGCTTGCTTGCTTGCTTGCTTGCTTGCTTGCTTGTTTTTTCCAGACAGGGTTTCTCTGTGTTGCCCTGGGACTCATTCTGTAGGCCAGGCTGGCCTTGAACTCAGACATCCACCTGCCTCTGCCTCCCAAGTACTCAGATTAATGGCCTGTACCACTACCTGAATCATCCTCAACCTTTAAATGAACTACTTTTATGAAAGCATAATTACTCTTAGAAATGAATAACTTAGAAAGCAGTTAAAATAATAACAGTTCCAAAGTGAGATATGAATTAAAATAAAATATAAATTATCTATTATTTAATCCAGTCTTTAGTAGTTACTGGAGTATATAGCATAGTAAATATCCTATATTTATTAAAACCTTTGGCGGGGAGTTTAAAATAAGGAAAACTACAGTTAGTGTAAAATTAAAAGTCCTTGGATCATTAAGGATCAGCTCCAATAATAAGACTTGCTGCTCTCTCTGACCTCATCAGAGTCTTTGTGCAGTGCCTGGTAATTAACGTAACTCACAACTGATCAAATAAGTATCTATAGAATGCTAGCCAGGAGATGGTGGCACATGCCTTTAGTCTCAGCACTCAGGAGGCAGAGGCAGGCGGATCTCTATGAGTTCAAGGCCAGGCTGGTCTACAGAGCGAGTTCCAGGACAGCCAGGGCATTTACACAGAGAAACCCTGTCTCGAAAAACCAAATAAATAAATAATGATAGATGCTAGCCACAAATGGGACACACCTGCCCTCAAGTCTCCCTGATTCCCAGGATCAGAGACCATTGCAGAAGAGGGAGCAGAAAGGTACAATAGCCAGAGGTCAGGGCGGATCAGAGTGAAACAGTGTCTTCTGAATATAACAGGCCTGCATTCGTTTGTGTGGATGGCTACTGTGGCTGCCTGTGCAGCATCAAATCAGTCAACTTTTTAACATGGAGGAGGAAGGGGTTTACCAGTTCCCCCACCCTCACCCTCGCCCCTCCACCCCTACCCCCCATCCCCCCACCCCAAACTGAGGAGCTATGGACAGGTGGTGGCTTCTGGGGAAGGGAGAGTTGGTTTTCTTTAAAGATGTGGCCCATGATAGGTAGACCTTGCTCTAGTGGCTGGCCCCACAGCCTTGAGTACATGGGCAGAGCATAAGGGACCCCATTGGTTATTAAAAAGAAGAGGGGGAGAAAACAAGAGGAAGTGAATCTGGGAGGGACTAGTGGAGGGTAATTTTGATCAAAATACATTGTATGAGATTCTCAAAGGGTAAAATTATCCTAGACATCTTTCTCTGGGGTCTACGCTAATAAGTGTGATCCTCAACCCTCATCAAAGGAATTTCTCTTTACATCTTATGGAGACAGAAAAACCCCAAGTAATCCAAATGTAAAGAGGAGAAGCAACCAATACATCTAAAACACAACTCCTAAGGATCAGGAATCCCTGTGGAAGGGAGCAGGAAGATTGTAAAAGCTGGAGGAACCGGAAGTTTACTGTGAAACTGTGTGTCCTAGAAATGTCAGAAGCTACACCCACAAAGCCTCACTGACATGTCTGCCTAAACATGACCTGAATGAGGACTGCACCAATAGCCATGCTAACATCAACAAGGAAAAGCTCAGGAGGCCTCGGCAGCATGCGAGGAACTACAGGCAACTAAAGAGTGCTGACATTGGGAGAATAGTATGCCCAGAAGAGCACACCAGTTTGCTTATCTAATACCAAATAGTCACACACACACACACACACACACACACACACACACACACACACTGTATACCTTGTGTACATGTAAAAATAATTTCTAAAGGACATGAATTTTAAAGAAAGCAAGGGAGGGGTACATAAAAGACTTGGTCAGGAGGAAAGAAAGGGAAAATTATGTAATTATAATCTCTATGTATGTATTTATATATTAATATATTTACAGTTACAAAAAGATTAATAATAAAAACATTTTAAAGTAATGTCAGCATCTTAATTTTTATGTTTCATTTTTAAGAAATATTTTGACACATCATCCAAAAGTTGCTGCTGAAAAATAAATCATATTAAAATAGCTTTTATTTCTTCTCCAAATTGATGTTAAAATTTACATATTGATAATATAATCACTATTAGAAGTTCCCTCAGTTTGTGGAGTACCGATTTACACATTTTTATTGGACTTAAAACAGAAGGAAAAACTCTACATGGATTTTTTTTTTTTTTTTTTTAACAACCTGTAGCAACTTTTAACTTCAACACGTCAGCGATATCACTTTAAGAAAATTCCAAGGAAAAACTGCAACCCGATCTAAAATTCCCACCTCTGGCTCCCAAGGATTGGGTTACACAGTTTGACAAACTTCTCTTCTCCACTCCCTATTGGTGAAGGGTCTATCATTCATTCTTTGGCCTGGAGTTTTGAGACAGACAGGGTCGCTTTATGGAAAAAGGCTGCGTTTGGGATGAAGCCCCTCTATTCAGACTTGTTTATGGTTATCAGGCTGTAGAAAAGTCAGGCTGATCCAGAGGGGGCCAGACTGGCAAGGCAGACGATCAAGAGGACGGTAGAAAGGAAACGGGAGTTTTTTTCATCGGACTGAGTAAACCCACAAAGGAGTTTACAACAAAGTTCAAGATATTGAGAGTTAAAGAAACTTTCCAGGTTGCTCTTGCTTTGTTGTTTTGCTAGTTTTAAGGGGACTTCGAGAGACGTCGCTATCTGAGGGGCCAGGAGGAGGCGTTTTCGGAGTTCTTTTCTCCTTAGAATGAAGTTGGAAACACGACCCCCAGGTTATCAGTGGAGTTTTGCAAGGTAAACAAGATTAATTGTAGATTATTTTTGCTTCAAGAAAGCGTGCTTTGCTGCTATTGTTGCTTTAATGTGGATTTAGGATTTTATATTGTAATGTTTAAGTCAAATGGATGTTTGTGTCTGGGCATTATGATAACAGACAAAATACACAAGCCATCTATTTGGAGAAGAAAAATCACTCAAATTGGGAAACTGAGGGGTGGATTTGCCTATGACCAAGCCAGACATAATTTGGTATATGCAACAGCACCAGCAAGCAGATGAATTTTCCCCAAAAAGAAATCTGGTGTTTATATTTTCAACAAAAGATATTTAATTAATGTTATGATTTAAAGTTCAGGAATATATTAGAATAACTGTTTCTTACATTAATTTAACTCTCAGTTTGCTATAAGGACATAAAACATTAAAACTCCAAAAGATCATATCAAAGCTCTGGGCAAACGGGACTCGGAGCATCAGGAACTTCAGGGAAACCGCCAAAGCCCTGGTACCTGTTCTGAAGTTTTCACTAGGGAAGGAAGAAGAGAGTGCTGCAGCCTGGGCAGAGCTGGCTCTGACCTCAGCAGGAGGTTCATTGAGAACCTCGTTATAGGGGCAATTATGCTTTATTTTTCAAAAAGGGCAGGGAGTTACATGAAGAGCCAGTCACTGGAATTAAAGAGTCTGGTTGTAGATTGTCAGTATGAAAACTGGAATTGCAGCTTGGTGGCACCAGGGCAAAGACCAGAGCTCAGCAATAACTTGGCATAGAAATCTGCCTAAAGGTCTTTTGGGACATTTTTGCACAAGTATCTTTCTTTACCCTTGTTGGTATACGTAAACCCTGATACATTTCTTTTTTGACCTTTGAAAAGCATTGAGCAATTTTAATTTGGCACCATGAATGTATTTTGTCATTATGACATAATTAGGACAGTAAGGGTGATTTTTATTCCCACTGGATTCATTCTTTCTTTGAATGTGTTTTTTCATGATTATACTTAACTGATCTAAAGGAATCTCTACCTCCCCCCAACCAAAAACCATGAAAAGCCACTACAGCGAAGTGTCACCTGAGCTGTGTCTGGGACAAAACTCTGCTCTCCACATGCTCATTGAGCTGTTGTGGTACCCCAGAACCTCTGCTCAGCATGAGAAAGCAAAGAAAATGAATGACCATCTCCTGCAAAAGAGCAAAGTGTTTCGGGACAGTATCTTCAGCCTTGCACCAAAACTTACTCAAAGAATCTGAAGCTCACATATCCTAAGATGTCCATTGGTAGCTCTCTTTTTCTTAATTAGGAAAAAAAAAAAAAAATGTTTAAAACAAGGAGTTCCCTTACATCTCCACAGATGAACATTTTCATCACTTTTATTTCCTTCTCCATTCCCTTTCTCCTACCATAAATCCAATTTCCCTGTTTATTTTCATGCCCCTTTGTCTCCTAGTTTCTACACAGGAGAGAAAGCATGCCCTGTTTGCCTTTGTGAGACTGGCTTCTTTCTCTTGACATGGTCTCTGGTCCCATCCATTTTCCTGAAGATGGCATAATTTCATTCTTTGTATCTGAATAAAACTGTTGCATACACATACCTTTTCTTCATTGGCTGGTTCTTTGAGGGCACTTCCGTGACTTGTTCTTGTGGCTCAACAGCCTTAGTGTACAGGTGTCTCTATAGGAAGCTGACCTATCTATCACTGATTCCAAACTAGAAAGGGGAGAAAGGAGAAATCTCTAGCTTTAGAAACAGCTGAGACAAGGTTCCCTTTTCACGTGACCATGCCCAGTGCTCAGCAAGCATTAAATGCTCAGCAAGCGTTATCTACATAAGTCCCTTAAATGGTGCAGACCTCAGGAAGTTAGAAAAGTAAAAGAAATGTGACAAAATAAAAGTGACTTGTGCCACTTTTGGGCAGTAACAGTGAAAAGCTCACACATTCTTTCTGAAGTTCCTCAGAGTCTCCATGATCCCTACTAATATACAAAGCCTTTATCTCGGTAGACTGGGCATTCCCACCCACCTGCTCCATCCTTTAAACCAAGTCATTGTTCACTGAAGGAGTTCTTTTGTTACTGTATTCATGGCCACCTTCCGTCCTCCAGCTACTAACAGCTTTTCCCCTGAGGATTTTAGCATTCCTTATGTATAGTGAAAGGATACTTATACAGTGAATTTGAATTTTAAACTAAATTCAATTTTAAGGGGTAGAAATGTTACTCAGAGGTAGAGTGATTACAGAGCATTTGTGAGGCCCTAAGTTAAATTCCCTAGTAGGGGTTTAATTACTATAGCAGTGTTTCTACTGTTTGGATCTTGTGTTAAAATTTATAGGTAATAGTTTTAGTGAATTGTGTTCCTAGGAACAAAGAAATTCCTATTCCACAAGGAATGTGATGATGGCTCTATCTCAGAGAAGGGGATTGATATTGAAATTTCAACTACAATGCAATCTGTGAACTTTAAGGTCCAATGGGTCATCCTACAAATATACATACATATATACATACATACATATCCATTCCAGGATCTGTGCTAGCCAAGATTCTCCATGATATGGTGATACCACAATCTGTTTACCCATTTGGGAGTTCACAGACACTTGGAATACTTTCATTCCTTATAACATTGTATTACATTCATTGTAACATTATATTTCATTGTAACATGTAGCTGTTATAACCAACTCTTCTAGGAAGGTGTGTATAAGTTTTTGTGTGGATATGTTCTTCAACTGCATTGTATTTACCTACAGGTAGATGTATGAGTCACATGGTAACTCTGGGCCTAACTTTGCAGGAAGTATCAAGTTGTTTTTCAAGGCACCCACTGCACTTCACATTCTCTCCAGGAGCCAGTGAGCCTTCTGGCTTCACCACAACCTTGCCACCGCTTCTTATGTTCAGGTTTATTATTGTTCTAAAATTTGGTAAATGTGAATTAGTACTCCTTGTGATTTTGATAATAGCTAATAGTATTAACCATATATGCTTCCTAGCTTTCCACATATTTTCCTTGTTAAAAAAGTTTAAATATTTGGCCTAATTTCCAATTGGGTTGTCATATTGTCATTGAATTGTAAGTATTCTGTGCATATTCCCATGTGCTTTAGGTTGTCTTTTAAATCTAGCATTTAACTTTGAAGCATCAGGATTTCAGTGTTGATGAGGTCTGGCTAATCCATCTCTCCTTCTCTCATTTGTACTTTAGAGTTATATCCGTGAACCCAAGCTCACGACCATTTACTGCAGTGTTTGCTCAGAGTTTTGTAGATTTAGCTCTCAGGTTTAGGTCTCTGCTATACTTGGAGTTAATTTTTATGTATGGTGTGAAGTTCATCTTCCTTCTTACATTTGCCTCTCTAGTTCTAGCTCATTTATTGAAAAGACTTCTTTCTGGCATCCTTAGGGGGTCAGGAAATACACAAGTCCCTCAGTTTGATCGATGACACAGGAAAAAAAAAAAAAAAGAGTGGCTATGTATGCCAGAGTTAATTCTGGACACCTTTTCTTGTCTGATGCAGTGCCACGACATTTTGCTATGTTTTATCCAAGCTTCAACTGAGCTATGTTTGACAAACTAAAATTTTACAGGTTGTATAAGGTTTTTTGTTTTTTTCTTTTTAGGAACTTTTGTTCTTTATTTCCGAGATTGTATTTTAATCATAATATTTCTTCCTTGCCTTTCCTCCCTCAAAATCTTCCCACATACCCCTTACAGCTCTCCTTCATATGCACACACACACACACACACACACACACACACACACACTTCTAAATATAGCCTGTTGCATCCATATAATGCTTGTACATTTTCAGAGCTGACTCTTTGGCCCTGGACTACCAATTAGTATAATTAGTATGCTCTTCCTGTCCTGCTCCCAGCGTTCCTCAGTTGCCTGTAGTTCTTTGTGTAGTATTGAAGCCTCATGGGCTTGTCCCCATCCAGTTTGGCGTGTTTGTTGGTGCCTTCTTCAAAAGCGCTTTTGATATACCCGCAGCTTGTATGGTGGTTACCACAATCAAGCTGACTCACATAACCATCTGGCATAATTACTGCTGTTTACATCTACTCCCCCAGCAAATGTCAAGAATCTAGGACATTTTTTTCTGCAGTCACCACGCTGGTCATGGCAGTTTGCTTCCACAACACTGTTTGATTACCGTGGTTTGTTAGGGTCTCTGGTTTGGGTTTGTTTGTTTGTTTGTTTGTTTGTTTTTTGTTCACTTGCCTGCATGGAATAGATTTGTTTGTTTGTTTTTTCTGTGCAGTCCAGGCTAAATGTAACCTCCTGGTCCTCCTGATTTAGCTTCCCAAGTTTTGCTATTGCAGATCTGTGCTGCCATGCCAGCCATGCTAGCCAACTTTTGTTTTGGAGACAGGGTTTTTCTGTGTATCTCTGGCTGTCCTGCAGAACTCACTCTGTAGACCAGGCTGGCCTTGAACTCACAGAGATTTGCCTGCCTCTGCCTCCTGAGGGCTGGGATTAAAGGCGTGAGCCACCAAAGCCTGGCTCCTGGTTGACTTTTTTATAGTTTTTATATTAATAGAGACTTTTAAAATTTCAAGTATTAATTAACCTAGATTTTCCTTTTATAGGGATTGTTTAATCTAGTTTAAGTTTCTTGCATTTCCATATGAATTTAAGTACAAAATTTTCAGTTTCTGCAAGACCATTAATATTTTGATAGGAACTGTCTCGAATCTACACAGCAATGAGAACACTGTGAAGCCTCTCACCCATGAACGTGGAGTGTTTCTCCATATAGCTAAGCTTTCTTTAATTTCCTTAGTTCTCAGCACATGCCTCGTATTAGCTGCTTTCACATAGCAATAACTAAATATCTGACAGAAACAACTTAAAAAGACAAAAGAGGTTTGCCCGCCGGTTTCCATGGTTTCAGACCACTGCAGCAGAGGAAGCAAGGACAGGAAGGGACTCCTCACAAGGCAGCAGACTAGAAGTAGTGAAAACAGGCTGGAATCCAGGGTGGTTATAGTCTTAAAGCCCCACCCCT